TGTGTTTGTGCATAATTATGAACTGGCAGCTCGTCATTTATAATCTGAGAGGAGAATCATTTAGCACTTGTTGTGGAAGCTGAAGCCAAACAGCTCTCTCTATTGACATGTTTGTTTTCCTTTCTTTTACTCTAATCTGTGTCCAAGGTAGGCTCGGGGAATTTTGGAAAAGCAATGAGCACAGACGCTTCATGAATATTATTTTTTTGTTATTCCAAAAGCTGATAAGTGAAAACGGCAACAAATTGAGCATAGTTTATTTTTTCTTATCTTAATCACGGTGCTAAAAACCTGCAAGTAGATAAATGTTCTAACTGAGAAGTCTCTGTCAGAAATAACCATTGGAGCAGCAAATGCGGATTAATGCTGAAAATAGTCCCCATCAAATGCACCATTTCCTCCTGTTTTCATCTGACACTCAACACTGATCTCTTTTAACCCAAACCACAATCGTTCCTTGCTTTTCAAACAGTTAACTGTATGTAATAGTCTTTACTAAGCCCTAGTCAAACACGAATCTAAACAAACCTTAAGCAGAGCTTTAAAAATGATCAGATGTATTGATTTTTTATTCTTTGGATTTGATGATATTGTTATAGACTATATTACAACACAGTTTGCCCTCATGCAGAAATAATTATTTAGAAGATCCAAATGAATAGTCGAAAATATTATTACGCAGCATCAATTTAATATTAATGGGAAACAGTGGGGGGAAGCAGAAGTGGTTATCATCTTCTGAAGGGATTATCTCACCAAAGAATTCACATGCCCCCTACATCTACTCTTAGTCCACATGTTGGTCCTTTAACAAACAGAGAAAGCGCAGGAAGAAGCCCTGTGACAGATCATTATTTTATCGGCAGTGATCTAAGTGCAGTTGACACAATTGTACATTTTTTGCTACATGTTTATCGTCTGAGACTCTGTTCATGGAGTCAAAAATGTTTCAAATCCATTTAAAATATTAAAATAATCTCTCCATACTGCCACTTTCCCACCAACGAAATCAAGCGAAAGACCAGTTTCAAAACATGTAAAACTCCAAACAAGTCTTCAGTGCAATCAGAGCTCGCAGTTTATAAACCATTTCCCCCATAATAAACCATCATAACCCCTGGGCTATTTTCCTTTAAATTTTCACCTGAAAAAGCAGCCTCAGATGCACTCTGTCACAGCTCAGCGACTGCAAGGCCAAAATGAACAACCGTGGGCTCTGTGCTTCCGCGACACTTGGGAAAATTTGAAATACAATAAGACCCCAGGTCCCCATCACAGGGTCAGGGAAAGATCAGAAAAAGTCAACGCACAAATATATATTTTTACCGCATATCAAAAATATACACGAGCCAATGAATAGCATCCTGATAAAGAGGAGTCACTCGGTTTGTGAACGTGTTCTAAAAATTCTCAGCCTGCAACTCTGCAAAATATGATGTTACACAAATGATGCACTTTAGTCCTAGTAGTACTAGGTGGTCTCTTCACTGAGTGCATCACTCTACTACCTTTTAAAATGGCAGCTGTTTGAGTTCTATTAACAGACACAGGCTGGCCTTGGTACAGGTATCTCCAGAAGACTAAATATTGCCAGGGCGCCTTGGTGTTCAGTGCTTTTGATGCATTATTTAATAACCACCTCAACAGTGACCATTCTGTGATTAGGGTTGGGTTTGGCATATACTACATGGATACATGAATTTTAATAAAACAAAAGGTATTTATCTATTTAAAATCAAGTGCTAAACACTGTGAGTGATAATGGGCTGAAAATTGCATCAAAAAGAGGCAGGCATTAATCAAACCCTGACCTTAGATGGGTCACCAGTGACTCTTCAGTAGACTGCAGAATTCTAATAAAGGTGTTTCCTTCATGTGTGAGGCGCACGTCTTGCTTTATCCCAGACCAGTTTGTCCTTGATGGTGTTTCAGAGCTGCTAAGGCCACATGTGCACTCTGCCCAGTGAAAAAGCTCCTCAAAATCACCACCAGACGTGGTGCAGCGGTTGGAGATCCTGCTGCTAGTCACTCATTCAATCGAACTGTCCAGTTTCTTGGACTCATACTGCAGTGCAGAGAAGCCACTATTGTGAGCACTGCTGAAAAAAACGAGGTCTGGCGATCGGTGGAGCAATGCACCACTTAGACAGAACTTGTGCATATAGAATTTCTGTATACACAAGTGCAATATATAGCACCTTGAGGTAACTGTTGTTATGGTTTTGGCACTAAAATAAAATAGAATTGAACTGAATAATGTGTTGGTTATAGATGGCACTGAGTTTAATACTGCTGACATGTTTAAGTTTAACTTATATTTCAACAACAGCAAAAATAGAGAAAACTGTGCTTATGTGGGTACACAAATGACCTGATTTAGCATTTTGTTAGAAGTTAATTCTAGTGCTTTACAAAAAATACCCATTACCAAATCCTGCTGCATATGGCAAACGTTAGATCTGATGCATGCAGAAACTCCTTTCTTTACTGACTTGAGTGGACCTGGGAATGCTTCAGAAGAACTGAGTTTTACTATGAAATATTACATAAATTTGTGGATTTGTGTTACATTTTTCAGTGTCTACATGTCAGCCTGAATCCACTTTCTACTTATTCACTGAATGTATATTTGTAGGAATAGTCGATACTATCCCTCTGCAGTGTTGCCTCTGGGTAACACACCTACTTTCACACTCACAAAGTCATCTGATTTCCTCTTTCTTTTATTTCTACAATGGCTGAAGTATTATAAAAACTGATAATGTTAGTTGTTTTACATGATAGAGCATCTAGGAAGAGATGCATGTGCTAACTGAAACCACACATTTAAATATAACATAAAAGCTCAAACACTGAAATATGAGTCACTCTTATGAAGAGGGTTATAATGTTACGACTTGACAGACTGTTGCAGAGTAATATGAAAGTAATGTAACTAGCAGTGTAATGAGTTACCTATCCAATATGTAAGTTTAAAAAAATGCATTATTCATTTTTTCTATGAAGGAACCCAACACTGATCCTACAGGAAGCTCCACAATGTTACAATGATAGAAAATGACTTTCAAACAGCACTGCACCATGGTGGAACAACAACCAGCCCAGTCTCATATATTAACATGTAAAACAATCACAAAGAAGCAGTGCATTTGTTACATTCTGCACATGTTTTAAACTATGTATTTAGGATGCCTGTTCCCTACCTGGAACACATACGTACTTCTAAGTTACATGGCCTGACACTTTTGACACTTTGTGGCTGAACTGCGTGTGAAACTGCGGAAACACTTACACTTTGCAACAATACCCTCAATTGTGGATCATTTAGGATGGAAGAAAATTTTACAGACTGAATTGTTACAATGGTGACAATCTACTACAGTCCCAGGCTTAAATTCAGTGCCTATACACAGGTCTGTATAATCCAGCACCTCAAAATGCAGTCTACATTTACAAACAGACGGACTTAGTTCAAAAAACAAGAAGTGTAGTTCATATAGTGTTTCTGTGTATATGTCCTTGCTTCTTTTATTTTTCCCATCCTTTACCACGATTGTAAAACTTGTCACACAATAAAAGCTACAGGCAATAACTGCATATTTGCATTAAAAAAATAAAAGCTCACAGTAGAATAATTGTGCGGGTAAGAATTAAACCTGGGTCGTTAAGAGTTGCAGATAAAGTGTCCGCCCACCTACCCTTCCTCTGCACTATTTCAGCACTGAGCTGCTGTCTGTCTTCTCAAGTCTTTTCATATCATCCTTTCAAACATCCGAGTCTTACTTTCCGTGCATGCAGCTTGGATTTCCATAAACATTTGCATTCTAAGACATTGTGTTCATTTCCTCTAAATTTCCAGGAGACCAAGTGACTTCGTTCTCTATTACTATCTCTCTCTCACACACACACGCACACTTCCATTCAAAGTGAAACACTGCAGGCCAAACACACACACACACACAGCAGCTTTCAGTCACACAGCCATCCCTGATAAGAAATATGGGTAACAATGTGATGTCTGCATCAATAGGCCACTTCAACCCAACATCCAAGAGTCATGTGGGATCAAACCCACATCAAAGCCTGGCCGACGCTGCTGTGAGAGCCGGGCAACAATGGAACAATAATTAAAGCCACATGGATATCCAGCTACCTCCCGTCACACACATCTCTCACTTCCCCTTTGTCATAGAAATGTACAGATCACCGTTTGATGTCTGTCATGACAACAGGCCTCGCACATCACGAAACGCAGCTCCTCACCACACAACATGGAAGCAAGTCATTTCCATTCATTTGAATGCAGTAAACACTCTCATTCACTAAGCAGCTGATCATTATTTGCTGTCATAACCAGCAGTAATGCAGCAGCAATACATAACAAAATGCCAAAGAGCCTCCAATGCACTGTTAAATGAGGCAGCGTGCAGGAATATGCTTTGGCTGTATTGATTCAGCCACTTTTTATCCATCCATGAATAGTTGGGCTCATTTACTTCATTTATCATGTAATTAATATCCAGAACGAGCTCATTTTTTCCCTTTCCCACCCTCCACTTTTTTCTTTGATTAATGCTCTTATTTTTCTTCTTGATGGGGCTGCGTCCTGCTTGGATTGCGGAGGGCTTTTTTTTTAACTGTTTCAGGGAAAAGTTGGAAGCCCAAGTAGTCGAACTGAACTTAGAGCCACGGATTGAAAAGTTATGGAAATGAGAAATGTTTAACCGCTTCGGGGAAGCAGCTGGGGGTGGGGGGGATGAAGCTAACAAAAAGTTCCAGAAAAGAAAACAAATACCCAAAAACTTAGTGTTCTGTCGGCTATAGAGGGACGAGGTTTGATAGCATAAGGTGCTTGTGCGGAATAGCAGGGGATACAAACTGGATGCCCTTATTTCCTTCATGAGTGGGTGTGCTCCAAGCAAGCCTCGCACAACTCTTGACAGGGAAAGGGCACGCGCCGAGAGAGATGTAGAGAGAGAGAGGGAGAGATTCCCTTGTACCTCTTGAGCATCGATGTCCTCCTCGCTGTCACTCGGCTCCGGCGCTTTCACGAACCACCACTGGATCTCCAAATACACGGAGGCGGTTCCGCTTTGGAACGCGCACGCCATTTCTATGTTTTGACCCTCTTTGACGGTCATGTTGGAGGGCAGGTCCGTGAACCGACCTGCGGATGAGAGAAGGAGCGGGGGGAGGAGGGGGTGAGGCGGGGGTAATAATGATGAGGCTAGTTTGTGCGTCGTCTACACGCACAGAATCACTCGAGTCTCCTGCTCGCTGATGGCCGCAGCAGCTGCGTTACTGAGGCACACGTTTGACGAAAGGTGCCTTCTTGTTTTTAATTAGAGAGCACCCCCCCCCCCTCTCCCCCCACACACACACTCCCCAGCACCACCATCACCACCGTCACATATAATGACGCGTCTTCATCTGGAATTTACGTAACGCACTCCTGCTACATTATTCACAAACTAAATTGGAGCAGCCATCCCCCCCCCTCCGCAAAAAACCTTTCCTATTATACATGCGTGTATCTTTGTAGCCACGGCGGAGCTGGTTGAAACCGCGTTAAAAATTCCAACTAAGCTTCGTGGTGTTTGCCTGAGTGTGATTCAGTCCACGGGTGTTTTTTTTTTTTTTTAAAGCACAGATTGATAAAAGAGTTTGGTTTGAAGATAGCCTTCTGTGGAGCGGTGACGACATGACATTTGTAAACTTTTAAACCAAACCGTCGTTTACGTCCTTTTCGACAAACTCCCGGTTAAACTGTTTAGAGCTTTGTAGCTGCGATGCGGCCAAAGGCGAGCGTGAGAGAGCCCGCACCGACGCAGTTTGAAAGTGGCGAGCGACACCAAGCAGCCACACGGAATCTGGAGCGTCAGCTTTTCAGGAGCGCGGACAGACGCAGGCAGCTGCAGCTGTCCGCGGTGCTGAAAGCTTCTCATGAAAGGCAGCCTTTAAGACAAGTTTTATCTCCCCATCAAGCGTCGCCGTGAAAGAGGTGCAAGGGGGGGAAGAGGGGGAAGGAGCCCCCCCTTCTCTTCTGAGCGCGACGTGAAACGACTTGATCTGAAACAATCACCAGTTGCATTTTTTTTTCGTCATCAGCTTCAGGAGAAACATTCATTCTGAGATCGCTTTCCCTTTCTTTTTTCTCCAGTCACTTAAAAAAATCCCTTCACAACAGCCTCTTTTCCCCGTTTTCCGCCAGCAAAGCTGCGCACTTTTAACACTTTCTCCCACCAGTGCAGGGCAGCAAAGCCAGACACGATCGCGCTCGCACGCCAACATTGTTTTTTCCCCCCTTTTGGTTAAGAAAATATGCCATCCTTACCTTCAAAAGAGAATCCGAATTGAACGCAAAATCCGGTTAAGAAAACAAATCCAACAGTATCGTGTGAGGTCCACATCATTCCAAGATCAAGGGGCTCGTTTTTCTTTTTACATCAGCCGGAGGAGGATAGAAAAAAGACGAATCTTTCCAAGGGGGCGAAGAGGGGGGAAAAATCCTGCACACCAGCAAAATCAAACAGTTGCTGGGCGAGTGTGTTTAAACGGAGATTTCAGAAGGCTGAACATGCTGGAAAGCTACAGCTTGTCGTTGCCGAAGTTCTTTTTTTCTCCTTCCTTCTCTTTCTCTGTGCCTCTCTGCGGGAGAGACTGTCGACTGCCTGGTTGCACTGAAGTCTGTGAAATAACCGTGTTGCGGTCTTCTTCTGCGCTACCAGAGAGACGTCAGTCTAGTGGATCACTGTGGCATCCACACTCTCCCCACACCTCTGCAAATCTAGTCCTCATCCGGCCCTTTTTTCCTGTCACCTTGACCGCTTAATTTAAACAAAAGCAGCACCGAGCGTTTGCTTTACAGTTACTACTTTTTAACGAGCTTATTTTATTTGGACATTTTTGCAAATGATGCCCAAATGATGCGAATACAGATTTTTAAAGGTCCTACTTATTCACAAAACTTCAGTTTTGTGAAAGAGAACCTTAAAGTTTGTCTAACATGCACAAGAGCGCGTATTAAATGTGGGTGTGTCAAAATCTGGTGCACTCACGCAGTCAGGAGTTCATCTAAATATTGCAGCTTCACAAGTGAGCAAATAAGAAAGATGACAGTTTGGAGGTGGGTCATGGCAGGGCAAGCATAACATGTCCCGAGTCATTAAGCTAAAAGAGAGCCTGCTGGAATTTGCTATTAGTCTCCCGGAAAGAGTGAGAACATTTTGGCCTTTGATGCAGTGCTTACATATCGTGGCACCACTAATGTCTGCTCATAACGTGAATGGAGATCATTCATCCTTTGGGGAGGCGGACAGGTGTGTATAGGTCGACTGGCATAAAGTCAGAATTCAGGAGTGATGGGAATAACGCGTTACTAACGGCGTTACTGTTTTCAGTAATCTAACTAATTACTATTTCTATCGTTACAACGCCGTTACCTTTACTAACAAGAAAATGCGGTGTGGTCGCTTTACTATTTTTCAACAACCAGACGGTTGAAGCTGCCTTCAGCTTATCGCACCTTACCGCATCAGAAGTAGCTGCCTACTAGAAAATCTAGTAGACAGCTAGATAGACAATCTAGGTAGACAATCACTTTCGCCCGCTTAAGCTGCAGTGGGCAGCTTGATGTCTGATGATCACTTTTTGGCACAACACCTGGAGCTAAGGGAGCAAAACAATCGCATAAGTGCTGCTGTTTGACCACTTAAAGATAACAAAGCAACAAGGTGATATATACCAGTTTTTAAATTGTGTTGATAGGCCACCTAAAACCAGAGTAATGCTAAATAATATATACATATTTTTTTCCTGAATAGTTTCGTCACGTTTACTGTCTAAGGACAGTGCAGTGAGCACTCTCTGCTTATGAGAGTGCTTGCTAGAGTTAAAAAAAAAAAAAAAAACCCTGCCCCTTCCTGTTGGTGGAAAAACGCACCATGTCGGCCAATCAAAAATGATATGCCAACATGACATTTGGTTGTTTAGGAAGAGGGGGAAGTTTTAGGAGTGACCGCAAGAGAGAGAGAGAGAGAGAAAGACAGCAGAAAAAGAGAGAGAGCGAGAGAGATTTCTGATTTTTAGCTGTTTGGAGGTGTAGTTAATGTGTTGTCTTGTGTAGTTGGTGTGTAGTGTTGTGTGTTAGACAGTGTTGGGTAAGTTACTTTAAATTAGTAAATTAGTTACATTACTAGTTACTTCTATCAAAAGTAACTCAGTTACTTCAAGTTACTCATTACTTTCAAAGTAACTAGTTACTAGGGAAAGTAACTTTGTTTTTACTCAGAATTCTGTTTTTAATATTGTGTTGCTTCCCTAACTGGATACCCAGCAAGGATGCCAGTCTTCTAGCTTGCTTACATGTTAGCACGATCTTGCCACAAGTGCACTGTGCCACCTACCAACAGAAAGGAAAAAATAATGTGCACATTTCCACGAGAGAAATCCCACGCCTGGACCGTCGTTGACCGCCGCCATGATTCTAGCCTACGTCACAGCGTCACGTGCGCTTTTTACATCCAACAATAAAACTGCAGTCATGGTGCTTTCGATGTACTCAGAACAGAAATTCTGCCTTCCAAATAGAGATTGACAGACCACGTGACATTCACGCATTGCATTGTGGATACGAGTGGCAACAAAATCAAAACACTCCATCAAGCGCTAGCATTTCCAGTGGTGGTAATCATTAATTCTGCAATTTTAATCCCTATTTGCATTTTATTTGGTCCAAAAACAGTTATGTACAAAACGACGGAGAACACGGCAGGTCCGGTCCGTACAGAGACAGAGTTCACGCAAAGGCAAAAGAAAAGTACGAGGAAAAAATCAAAGGAGTGAAAGAGTCAGACCCATACGAGCATACAGAGTGGAGTAAGTACTGCCCAACTTTCATCACACATATTTATTATTATATGGTCCAAAATGTTTAGTAACTTCAGATCCCTGCAACAAGCCCAGGTGCAGTTTACTTTGGTGATTTGGACGATTCCATCTCACAGCTGTTGTTAAACTTCTTTTCCTTTATCTCCTGTACAGGCCAACGCATGTATTTGACGTTTCAGGTTGTAGTATTACACAACATTTTCAGATCTAATAGAAATAAAATAAGTGTTTCATAATTCACTCAATTTATTGTCATTATTTATAACTAGCATTATTGCTTCATGCTATTATTGAATCTCACAAGAAAGAGTCAAAATTGTATTCCATTGTGCTTTATTAGCTGCTTCAGTGAAAAACAAATCAACAATGCAAAAAAAACAAAAAAACAAAACATATCAAAACAACATACTGGAAAATGGTTATTCATCACTTGCTTGCTTCAATACAACACTTGGGCACATGTATGCGTGACGTTTCGTGTTTTGATCTCGCTCTCTCTCTTAACCGATCAAATCTGGCTGTGGTAGCAGCTTTAAACTCGGTCTGACCCAGGCTGATAGAGGGGCCCAGTCTGGATCGCATTCCTGCATTTTGTAGGCTGGTTTTCCTACAAAACACAACAAACATTAGCCCGCAAAGCCACAGTGAACAAAGCAGCATAGCGCAATGTTATGATAAATTACGTAATAACTACAACAGAAGACGTACCTCTGTGGGAATGCTTGGAGCAGACTAACCTGTGAGCTGGAGGGTTCTGGAACGTTATATTTGGTCTTTGAATGGCTGCAATCCAGGCCATCCGTCGCCTCTTTGTTACTTCGGTAACACGGCTTGAACAATTTCTCTTCCACGATGGAATCCGATAACCGATCTCTTTACCCGTCGGCTTCCCGTGGCTGTCGTGCGACCGGCTATTGCAGTTAATAATACAACAGCTTCTTGCCATTTTTTGTGTTTCTTTTTATCGCTGTGTGACTGTTTTCTTGTGAAAGCCTGCGCGCGCTAGTACCGCTTGCCACTCGTACCTACAATTCTTTGCGGTTTTACGCCGGAAATGACGTCACATTTTCAATCTCTGTAGGAAGATGTAGGTAACACCAGACTGCAGATAAGCTGCATACAGGGCTGGACTGGGACAAAAAAATATAGGAAAAATCATAAAGCCTTTGAATGAAAACAAACGCTGTTGTGACAGTGATGTACACTGTTTTGATGGTATATATGAATCAATCTATCAATCCTTTGTTGTAAGATTCAGATAATTACTTTTTAAAAGTGAGACATTTTAAATGAGAATAAGAAAGAAAAGTATTTCTTTGTGCCCCCCTTTCCCTGTTAATGCCCTACCTGGACCCCTGGCAAAACTTTGCTAGACCCGCCCCTGCACAGTTACCAGCTGTCAGCTACCTAAAAAAGGATCCTGGTGTTATTTGTCTCTCAGAAACAGTTCATAACTTCCCTTCAACTCATTCATGTCACCTAAAAGGTAAACCTGTTTCTCCATCACCTGTTCAGCTCTGATGATTCAGTAAGGACATCTCCTGGTTTCATCTTCATGTTTTTCCTCTCACCACATAACCAAACCGACATCATGACCAGCAGCTTTACAGCTGTGGCTCCAGCAAACATCAGCTGATACTAGAAATTAATACTAAATAAATTCTAACAGATCTGATCAACCTTAAACGTGCTGCTGCTGTTTAACGCGACATTCACTGGTTTCCTCTTTCTGGCGCAAAGTGGGCGATAAACAAACAAGAGAGACGGGACTTGCGACAGAAAAAACGATCAGCTGATCATTGATCAGTTTCTTGATTGAAGTAGAAACAGGAGAGGGAGGGAGAGAATGAGAGAAGAACAGGCAGCTGTGCAGCATAACGACAGAATAACTCCAGCTTTGTGTCTTTTTCATTGTAGCTGAAGTTCGGGACAAACTCTTCCTTTTTCATCTCAATACAAAAATAATATTTTCTCTGAATACGAGAATTCCGTTTTTTAGGGGACGGTTGGAAACTCTAATAATTAACCTTATGAACAAAATAAAGTTCACTATCAGTAACATCATAGCACCCACCCAGCTGTATAGAAACTCCGTCATGCTAGCTAGAACGCAGTACGAGTTATTGTAACTGACTCTAAAAAGTCAGCATAACGAAAATAAACTCCACCTAAACTTGGTTTATATCTGACCCAGATAGACTGCAGGTCATAACTTCTTACCTGAAGTTCAGTTCACCTGACACTCGGCCGCCTCGGGTCTCTTTTCCTTCTGCGTCCCTTTTCCTTCATCCACCTGCTGGCCTCCACCACTTGCTAATGTTACTGAATCTGTGGAAGCTCCGCGATAGCCACCACACGAAGTAACGAATAACGACCCTATCTAAATCCCAGTAATGACTAACGTGTTCCTGATTTTGGCATAATAATTAGTTACCGTGCTCGTTACCACAATAATAACGTAGTTACTGTAACGCGTTACTTAATAACACGTTAGTCCCAACACTGGTGTCAGAACAATCAGGTGATGGCTGTCTCCAGGTAGAGAACAGGAGGAGTGATACACCTGCTATCAGACCAGCAGGTATCAGGCTGTGATGTTCTCCTTTATAGTGGACACAAATATTTAGAGTGACACAAATAATTTGTGTGGTATCTTAGTGCAGCGGTCCCCAACCCCCAGGCCTCGGACCGGTACCGGCCCGTGAGTCGTTTGGTACCGGGCCGTGAGAGTTGAGGCTCAGGTCTGAAATGTGTGGGTTTTCAGGGTTTTTATTGATTTTCAGCGTTATTTTGTTATCGTTTTTATCGTTAACTCGGTTTTCCTGGGTCTTTTCACGTGTGTTATGAATAAATCTTCTTTTTTTCGGTACTGGTACTAGTTTTATTTTGTTGTATTTGACACCTCAAAGGCCGGTCCGTGAAAATATTGTCGGGCATAAACCGTCCGTGGCGCAAAAAAGGTTGGGGACCGCTGTTCTTAGTGAATGCAGAACAGCTGATTGTTCTGTGAATAGTTTGAAATGGTTATTAAAAAAGAGGGTAAAAGGTAAATGGCTGCAAA